CTCAGAATAGTTACTGTTAATATGTTGAATATTATTAACTCATTTTATAGAGGAGGAAAATCAAGGCTCAGAGAGAGGGGCCTAAAGCCAGAGACAGAAGTGGGGCGTAGATAGGAGACACTCATCCCACACTCCACCCTAGGGTATGTAGCCCACAGAGCAATAATAATCCGCATCATCCTCAGGCTGCACAGGGCTGATGGTCAGGATGCAGGCATTGTGGGCTTTATCCGTGGCTGCTGAGAACCGGTCAGGAATGTCTGGGGCCTGGTCGTGGTCCTCCTCTGAGCGGTGGTAAAGGAGGTAGCGGGGGGCACTCCCTGCCCGTTGCTGGTACCAAGACACGCCGTAGTCCCCGATGGTCATATGGCGGGAGTTGAGCATACAGGAGAGTTGGGCTACTTGGCCTGGGAAGACCAGTATTGCATCTGGCTGGATCCGGGCTGTCTGGGAGACTGAGAGAGACAGATCCGCTCAGGCCTGGCCTGGGTCCATTCTGTCCTGCCTTTGTCCCATGAAGGCTTGGTTAGACTCCCAAAAGACTTCTGTTCCTAAAGGACTCACGGCCTGGTGCCATGGGATTGGCATTGGATGGGGCACAGAGTTGGCGATCCCTAAGCCCCCATTAGTGCCATGCTCTCAAGGTTCTGTGTTCAGATGAGGGCTTAGAGTTCAGAGGATGGGACTGGTGGCTTCTGGGTCCTTCTGTTACCCACTCACACCTCTGCCCTGAAGACTGCTATCCCTGTGGTCACACTGGTTCTTCCAAACCCTTGCTATAGAGTAACCACCCCCTGGGAAGCTTCCTGGGCTATACCATCCATCAGCTCAGCCTTAGGCAACTAGATACTGGGGACCTTCTTGGAGTTAGGTTGTTCCTGAGGCCCTGTGAGGTAGGGACCAGCCCACCTGAGCTTCTCCTGTGAAAAACTCAAAAGGTGATCAGCTTCAGACCCTAAAGAGTCAAAGTTCAAAGAGACCCTAGATATCTGGTCATTCAGAAATGGAGAAACTGAGGCCCACACAGAGAAGTGACTTGCCTCAGGACTAGGGCAGAGCCACCTGTATAGCCAGTTCTCCCCATTATCTCAGTGCCCTTTTCAGAACCCTCCCACTGTTCACATCAATTTGCTTCCTTTCAGGGGCCTTCTGAAACTAGTACAGTACCCCATCCCGCCCTTAGGTGATCCAGGCCCAGGGACGGCTCACCTGTCAGGAGGGCCCCAGTCAGGAGGGCCAAGCGCCAGCAGGCCATGGCCAGAGGTGGGAAGGCAGGCAGGAGCTGTTCTGTTGGGTGTGCTCCAGGTGCTTCAGAGCAGGGGCAGGGGAGGCCACTGGACCACAACAGGGCATGCAAATCAGCCCGTTGATTGGGGGTGGGAACAGTGTCTGGGGCCCAACTGCCAGGCCTCATCTTCCCAAATGAGAGAGTCCTGGCTCCTCAAGGCCTTCTGAGAACAGGAGCCAGAAATCCACACATACATTGTAGCAGGGGGCTGCTTTTTAATTCAGGTATAACTGACATGTGGTGAAGTGCACCAATCTTAAGTGTACGGCTCAATGATTTTATATATAAGAAATATATTCATGTATGTATACGTGTGTGCTCACACACACACACACACACACACACATCCGCAGCCTCTACCCAGAGCAAGATATAGGACATTTCCATGTCCCTAGAAGTCTTCCTCATCCTCCCACCCCTCTCCACCCCAAAGGGTAACCAGATAGAAGGATAAGTGACTTCTGTCATTAGATCAGTTTTGCCTGCTGTAGAACTTCCAATGTGAATGGAATGACAGTGTGTCCTCTTTTGTTCCTTTTTTTCAACATTGCTCCATGAGTGTGGAGCAATGTTTAATTCATTCTTCATAGCTGTGCGTAATCCATTGTGCGAATAAACAAGAATTAGTTTGTCCATTCTCCTGTTATCAGACTTTTGGGAGCTTTCCAGTCCTTCACCATTAGTAATAAAACTGCCGTGAATGCTCGTCAATGCCTTTGGTGCACCCGTATTTTCATTTCTCTAGACACCTAGGACTGGAATTGCCAGGGGTTATGAAGCGTACACATTTAGCTGTAGTAGATACTGCCAGCGTTCCACTATACTTGTACCTATCTGCATTCCCACCAGTGCATAAGAGAATTCCAGTGACTTATCCTCACCAGCACTTGAGGTGGTCAGTTCCTTTAATTTGCTAGATGGAGGGGAACTGGCTTTGGTTGGGATTCAGTTTCCTCATCTGGAAAATAAAGGTAAGCATAGTGCCAGTCCAAGGGTTGTGAAGATGCAAAGATGCAAAGGACTTATGTGCGCATTGTCAGGCACAGTGCATGTATTAACCATTCCTTTTATTTTCTGTATTCTGATGCTTTGACATCTGAGGCCTTGCTGACCTTGGAGGACTGACCCTCCTAGGGTTAGCTGGCACCTAGAGATACTTTTTAAATGCAAACCAATCAATCCTGAGCCTACACTCCCAACCACCACCTTTATAGGGATCTCACAATTTATAGGGCCACTGTCTACCTACCCTAATCACCTAGGGCCAGGTGCCAGACAACCAGGGAAGCCCTTATGCCCCAGAGCCCACTGAAAGTACTTACACCTAGCCGATCTTGAGCCTGCGTCCCCTGCCTTGCAGTTCTCCACACCCCTCCCACCCCATGCCTCCTGATGGACCCCAGTGCTTCTCCCTGTGACCCCCTCCCCCATGGCATGGTGTGCCCCCTCTTCTTGGGAAATGTAATAAACTATATTCTCAATGGCAATCACCTCCTGATCTGTTGTTCTTACCAGACATAAATAATAATAAATTAAAATAGTGCATTCTCATTAACTAGCAGCCTGAGAGCTCCCTTGGGGGCAGTTATAAACCACTCCCCAGGGTCCTACTCCTTTCCTAACACCTCCTTAAGATATCTCAGCAACCATCAAGATAAGAAGCCTTCTGAGAACAGCATTGAAGACAACAGAGGAACAGAGCTGAGGCTCTGGGACCCAGAGTGGCCATTTCTTCCAGAATCTGGCTGCAACCACTTCTGGGCTATGTTCTGCAGGACTCAGGTTCTCAGATACAGTGGTGTCCCTGGAAGAAAGTGCCCTGTGTTTAAATAAGTTTAGAAAATGCTTCCTGTTTCCACAGTACCGATTCTAAACACTTGCTACTGTTGAGCACAGATATAACACTTTAAAGTGTCATCACATTTCATCCTCACGACTCTGCTAAGTCCTGTTCTTACCCTCTTTTTACAGGTGGAAGCATTGAGGAAAGTGCTGGGTGAATCTCAAGTGCATCATGCTAAGTGAAAGAAACAAGACTCAAAGAGCTCCATACTGTATGATTCCCATTATAGGACATTCTGGAAAACAGAATGGTTGCCAAGGGCTGGGGTAGACTACAGAGGAGCATAAAGAAATTTTGGGAAGTGATGGAAATGTTCTGTACCCCGACTGTGGTAGTGGTTATATAAGATTTATGAGATTTGTCAAAACTCAAAATACTAAAAAGGGCGAATTTTACTATATGTCAAGTTCACCTCATTAAACTTAACTGAAAAAGAAAAGAAAGAAGAACAGAAGAGAGAGGAGGCTGGGAGTGAGGAGGAAGGCAAAGGGAGAAGAATGTGAGCACAGGAAAGGGGGCTTTGAGTTGGTGGAGAGCCTGCAAAGTTGGTGAGGATTCCATGCTTTGGCCAGGGGCTACCAGCTCACAGTGGGGATTTTCTCAAGACCAGCACCCCACCCCCAGGAACCTCGTCCACTTTTAGTTTGGTAGTTCAGTCTCTACTGGTGGGGGGATGTGGTCTCTGGACATCCCCGGACCCCGATGCTCCAGCCCTAACTATAGTGCTGCCTCAGAAAGTCCACATACACACACTCCCCCAGATCCTGTTACCAGGATACTGGTGGGAAGCCATTTCCTGCCTAGACGTCTTAGCAGCTCCCACTGCCATGGAGACCAGCTTGGAAGCTAGGAGGGCCTGTTTCCACCAGCTGCTCTGACTCAGCGAGCAGGAGGAAGAGGAGCCCAAGGGTCCTGGACAACAGCAGGAGCCAAGCCCCAAGGGCGGCCGAGCAGGGACCTCGGCCTGGGCCCACCCACCCATCATCCGCCCATCCACCCATCCACACATATATCTCCCAGCAGCGCCCCACCGGAATAGATCTCAGTCCCAACTCCTTCCTTAGTCGGAAAGTCGGGGTATCCTCTCCCCTACAACCATGTTTATCACAGTGATGTTTGGAGGTAAGTGGTAACCCTGTCCCAGCAGATGGGTTGAGGAATAGTACACTCGGCTTGCTTCTCTCTGCCATGGAAGGGGAAAGGCAGTGTGGGAAAGGGAGTTCACATGTGGAAGAGGGTGGGGGTGGGGTTTGGGGAAGCAGCTCTGTGAGGAGGCAGAGCCAGTGCCTGGAGACGATCACTGAAGGGAAAAACCCTGGCTGGGTACTGGGCAATTCACATGGGCTCCTCTTGAAGAACACCCGCCAGGCGATCACGAGCATGTTTTTAAACTGCACAACCTCTTGGCTATTCAGTTAATGGTCCTCAGGCTTCAGGGTGCATTAGGCAAGCACCTGAAGCTCTAGCCATAGTTGCAGATTCCAGATTCCCTAGTGGGGCTCCCTAGGGAGTCCATTTTCGGAGCAGGAGGCATGAGTTGTACATCCCTCGCTGACATCTCAGAAGATGGGTGGTGATGGGTACAGTCCTAGTTTTGTAGCTCTATTCGCTCCTCTGGTTAGGAAGAGATGAGAGAGGCAGAGGGTCCAAGATTGGGGGAAATAAAGGGTCCCATTCACTCACCTCTGCTCTCCCCGACAGCAGGCTGCTGGGAGCTGGTGAACCCCTGGTGCAGCCTGGTAACTCTCACTGCCCACCTGAGGCAGATGGGACAGGTGCCCCGAGATGGTGAGGGGGTAGGGAGGGGTTGCGGGGTGGGGATGCCCAGGGTCCCAGGCAGAAGTACCAGCTTTACCTTGCCTCCCTCCCTGCCCTCCCAGCGACCATTGCCCTCCTGGCTGAGGATGGACACCTGGTGAGCCTGGAAGAGGGCCTAGAGGGGGCTTCCCAGGCCCCCTCCACAGGCAGCTCCCTGTTGCAGGAGCGTGGAACCTATGTCCTTGTGCAGATCATCAGTAAGTGGGGCCCGAGACATGTCTCCTGCTGTTATGTCAGAATGTAAGGAGGGGTAGAGCAGTCCAGAGACCACCCAAGGCCTTCCCCAGCTCCCACTTTGGCCAGGACCTAGCCCTGACCCTTCCATCCAATGTACTGTTCTGCTCCCAGCCTGAGCCAGCAAAGTCCAGCATGAGAGGTAGGGGTGGGGACCACTAGGCCAGTCAGGAGTCATTCTTATTCCCAACACAGAAGCGGAGGGCGGGGCTCCCGCCCGCTATGTGTCCTTACTAGAGAACTTGGATGACCAGTGTCCAGAGCTTGCAGGTGAGTGTCATGGTAGAGCCTTGGAGCAGGGAGGGAAGGCAGCACCTTCTCCCCAGCCCTGACAGGCAGGCCTTCCTGGGCCTTCCAGAGGAGCTGCGCTGGCTGTCAGGCCTACCCCGCACAAGCAATAGCCGGAGGAGGCGTCCAGGTACTCGTCGTGGCCACCAAGAGCAAGGCCCTTCTTCAAGGCCCCAAAGGCTGGGCTCCCTGCTGTCCAGGACCCGCTAGCTGTGGCCAGGAGCCAGGTAAGGAGACATAGGGACACACACCCAGAAGTGGGACTCCTTCCCAGACACCTGAGGGGTGGATCCCCAATGTCAACCCCTGTCACACGCACACATATACCCACAAGATGGAGCACACTGTACCCAGAGACAGGTCCCCACCACCTTTCTGGAGTGTAAGTGCCCAAAGGCAGGAATGTCCTGAGTGCCCAGATGTGGCACAGGGCCTGGCTCTCAGTAAGTGCTCAATGAAGAGCTGCTAAAGGAACCCCATGAAAGCAGTAGCACAGCACGTGTGATGTCGGGGTTTGCACTTGGGTTAAAGGACCTAATCCTTTGTTCTGGAAGGCCCCATGACTGAGTACCATAGCCAAATGTCTGAGCAGGACTCAGGTCCAAGGGGGTTTGCCATGACCTCTGCCTTGTGTAATCAGGCCCCAAAAGACAGTGGCCGGCAGCATTCCTCTTACGAAATCTGGAATTACTGAGTTGTATTAGCAAGAGGGGAAAGGTGACAGACAAAATGTGAGGCTGCTGGGGGCCACTAAGATGTGAGTGCAGAGAAAGGGCTCCAGAGGCAGAGACAAGAAAGGCGGAGGGCATCCCTGAGAGGGAAGACAATCAGGATTCTAGCTCTCAGAGTCAGACGCCCTTGAGGTCACCTGCTAATGCCTCATCATCCGCTTTGACTGCCAGATTACAGCAGGGCTCCTCCCTCCCTACCTAGGAGGCCAGCTTACGGTGAATCATCCCCACCCACCTCATCAACCAGGGTGCTCCTGGCAGGCCAGTGAGAAGGCACACAGCAGGCTCTAGTCTAAAATAAACTTTTAATTGCACGTTTGTGTCTCGGGTCATCGGTGGGGTGAGAAATCTCCTCCTCACTACCAATCCCAGCTACCTGGGTACAATCTGATGTCAATGTCCTGGTCTGGCTGTTGGTGAAGCAGTGGAGGTGAGAGCAGGGCTGGCCCACAAATATGCTCCAGTCTGCCCTGGTCTCTTCAGGGCAGGGAGCTCAGACCTGTAGAGGGAGGAGTGGCACAGGCTGGTGGTCAACCCAAAGGTATAGGAAGAAGGCTGCCCCTCCCGCCCCCCACCTGAGTCGGGGGCTACTTTCTCACCATGGTTGTACTTGCACTGCTTCAGGGCCTCACTGAAGCCTTCACACAAGGACAGGTCACTCTGAGTGGTGGAGCAGTCCAGGAACTGCCTGATCTCATAGGCACAGGGCCCCAACTGCAGCGGCTGGGGGGCAGCACGAGCTGGGGCCTGGGGTGGTGCAGGAGTCAGCAAGGTCAGCTTGAGGTTGGTACCCAGAAGTGGGTTCCAAAGCTGGAGGCCGCCTACCCTTCCCCATAACCCCAGCTCGGGGGATCCCAGGGGTCCCAGGGAGGCTGAGTGACCCAGACTCAGCTGCTCCATCTGTGAAGCAGGGTGAGTCCACAGCCTTCTCAAAGCCACTCAGCTGATGCTAGTGAGGAATGTAGACAGCGTTTCCCTGCTGCTTCATAATGGACATGTTGGGCAGGTGGGAGGGGTGTGAGAAGAATCTAGAAAAGCCCAATGCTTTGCTAGTATTTGAAGTATAAGCCCCATCCCCACAAGTTCTAGGACCTTCCTGGCTCAGCAACACTGATCCCCATAACTCCTGACCTTGCTACTAAACCTGCATTTTGCTCAGGACTGGTGGGATGCCCAGTGGGAACAGGCCAGCAGGAAGCAGGCCCCAGAGTCACCAGCTGCCCTTTGTCCTTGGGCCTAGGTACTATAGTGCGTGACCTGGGAGTGAGGAGACAGGAGAGTCAGGAAGTTCAATATCCCTCCCTCTACAGGGGTTAGGTGACCTTGGGCCAGTCTCTGAGTCCTAAAGGCCTGGGTTTCTCCATCTCTAAAGGGCTGGTTGGCATCTGTCCCTGGGAGTCTAGGGACCTTGGCCTCAGAGGAGGGGCTGGGAGAGCTCGCCTGTGAGCGAGTGACAGGAGGGCAATAGGACCCTAAGTCAGGCGAAGTCTTAGGCCTAAGGCGGTTCTAGACATTCCGGCTGGACTCCCTGCTCTATGGTCTTCAGAGAAGTCGGTCTCAGTTTCTTCAAGCTCGTTGCTCACCTGCTGAGCAGAAGGCTGGGCGGGCTCTGAGCTTCCCCCGCTGAGGGCTCCAGTCAGGGCGCTGCCCACGACGTGTCCCACAGCTGAGCCCACGGCTACCCCAGCGGCCGTGGACGCCATCTGCGCCATCAGGCCTGGCTGGCCAGAAGGAGCCGGGGCCGGGGCAGCGGCCGAGGGCGGTGGGTGCGCGGGCGGGTGGGCAGAAGGCGCAGTGGTACGGCTGCGGAGAGGCGGGGAACACGGGGTTAATCCTAGCTGCACCCCAGGCCAGGGGCCCGAAGGGCCCGCAGTCCCAAGAAATGCCCCCCCTTTCCTCTTTCTGTAGGGTGGGCGACCACCGTCTTAGACACGTGGTTGTGGCACCCTCGACCCTCCCCCCTCCAAGATGGCGCAGTAGTCGCCAAGGTCACGCTCTCGCGCCCTTGGGGGAATGCCCGGGCTTCCCGAGCTCCTCCCCACGGGACCCCTGTCCCTTTCACACCTGGCTGGCCGTGCGGCCATGCTGCGGCTCCCCCGGGGCATGGTCGTAGCGGTGGGACTTGGCTAGCTGAGTCAGAGACGGCGACAGTGGCAGCAGTCTTGTCTCGCGGATGAACGCGGCACGGATTGTCACTGCCGGCACAAGGGGCGGGGCCTCGGAGACACGCCCCTAGCGGGAGGTACCAGGCGTGCGGTGGTAGTTCCTTCGCTCAGGTCCCCATGATTTATCCCTTTCGACATCCTCTCTTCCCGGCGGTCGACTCAACTGGCAATGTGACCCTGCGCCCTGCCTGTGCCTGGCCGGAGCTGTATGGGCCCTGGGCTATGGGCTAATGTTGCAGAGCGCGGAGGGTTTACGCAGGGGAGAGAGGCCTTCACAGACCACCACTGAGCGCAGGGAGTGGAGTTGGGTGCTGTCCAGTGGTTCAGGGCAGAGGAGACAGAGGCGATTGGTTGAGGCCTCCTGAGGAGGGGACTCGAGGCGCCAGGCGGAGCTGTGCTCCTCCTCCTCCTGTCAAGGTTTGCAAATTACTGCGTGGTCTCAGGGTCGCAGGGTTGGGGACTAGATTCGGAAAGAGGTGTCCTGGGGAGGGCCTGGCGCGACCCGTCTCCAGAACTTTCGCTAGGGGGCGTCCGGAACCCTTCTTCGACTCCTTCCCGGCCAAAATGCGCCGCAGGCATGGGCAGCCTTGGGCAGCACCGCCAGGGCTGCGTGCGATGAGGCCTCCCGCGTGGCCCTCCACAGCGCCTGACACACGTGCGTCACGGATGCAGCACCGGACACTGACAGCGTTTACACGATATTCAAGCAGCGTGACCCATCCCAAAGGCCATTCCTGAGTGCCTAGAGGCATTTGCACGTGTTTGAATTCTAGGGCCTCGTGATTTTACCACCTTGGTACCAGGGCTAGGGGTAGGCGGAGATGTGGATTTAGGATGCTTCCCAGTCTTTCAGGGACTCGAGGTTTTCATGGACTCTTCTGAGTGACTTAACAGTGCTCATAGTATTGTCCTTGGGGGAAGGGGCCTTGACTTCTTTTATCGCACCCTCCATCACTCTCCGTTGTGCCCGCTAGAGGCCTGGTGGTACAGGGATTGTGGGGAGGGTGGAATCACCCAGAGCAAAGGCATGGCGGTGAAGGAGTGGGGCAGAGCGGGGACTGGTCCAAAGGGGAAAGGAGGTTCCTCTATGAGGAAGGGAA